CCCCCCCACACACCCCCACGCACCCACACCGCCGCCCCCAGCCCCCCGCACCCCCCCGCGCCCCCCGCCCACCCCCACCCCCCCCCCCCAGCCACACAAGTCAGCTTTGGGAGCTCTCGGCGACGCCCAATGCGTGCGCCGGTAGGGGGGAGTGTGCGCGCGCGTGTGTGAGATGAGGATTGTGGCAGGCTGGCTGCTGCTGATGTGGGCAAGTGTGCTCTGTGTGCAGCGCTGCGCTGGCGTGCGACGCGCGCGTGCTGTGCGCGTGTGCGTGTTGGATGCGCGTGCGCGTCTGCGTGTGCTGCGCGCGCGCCGCCGTGTGTGCTGTGTGCTGTACTCTGTTGTGCGCCTGTTTGTGCAGCTGGGAGGTGCAGGCTTGGCTGGCAGGGCTGCGCGGCGGGCTGCGGCGCGCTGCGGGTGGTTGTGCGCCTGCCTGGTGGTGTGCGGCGGCCGCTCAGCCCGCCCGACCGGGTCGTCGGCGGCCCAGGGCGCGGGCATGCGGTCTGCGCTGCATGTGAGGCTGCTGCGCGGCTGGCGCGTATGTTTCCGTGCGGTGAGGGACGCGCGTATGCGTTCACGCTGCGGGCGCGGGCGGGCGCGGGGGGCGGCGTGGTCTCACCGCGGTCCGACGTCGGTTGGTCTTCGGCGTGGCGAGGGCGGGCGCGCAAAGAGCTTGCCGCCATCGCGTTGCCGCCAAGGAAAAAGAATCCTGAGCACGGGAGGTCACGGAACGACGGGTCGAACGACGGGTCGAGCTCCCCCCTCCGCCGGTCGAGGCCACGGTCGAGACCGTGAGCGCGGCCGAGGTCCTCGCGGGCGTGGCGGAGTCCGGCCCGAACTACGTGCTGCCGCAGCCCGCGGAGTCAAAGAAGGCGCGTCGGAAGCGGCTGCGCGTGGACGCGGCGGCGAGGATCGCCGGGCACGCCGTCGTCGAGGCAGGCACTCACGTCGAGATCCTGGGCGAGCAGAGGTGGTGGCCGGGCACCATCACGGGGCGGGAGGAGGGTTCCGACGGCCGGCTCGTGCACGCGGTCGAGTACGACGGCTACCCCGACCAGGATTTCCGGCTCAGCCTAGAGGAAGTGGCGTGGAGGCAGGCGACGCTCGGCGCCGGCGACGCGGCCCCCATTTGTTTATGTATGTAAAAGAGGAGTGCAGAAGATTGGACAGGGGAGGGACGCGGCCAGAAAGAGGGCGGGCGCCGAGGTTCGATATAAGTAGAGGAACGAGTCGAGAGGACAGGGAGGGACGTGTCCGGGGGGGGGGACAGGGGGGGGGCAGCTCAGTGTCAGATTGCATCTCGGCTGCATCAATGGCGGATGGGCGGCCTCGGATCACAGTCACGTCGGCGAGGACAGCGACGGCGTCGTTGGTGGAGCGCAGGGGCGAGGGCGTCGACCGACGGGCGGCGCATCAGGGACCCCTCGCTGGCGAGCGGCTGGCGCGGGAGGTCACGGAACGACGGGTCGAACGACGGGTCGAGCTCCCCCCTCCGCCGGTCGAGGCCGCGGTCGAGACGGTGAGCGCGGCCGAGGTCCTCGCGGGCGTGGCGGAGCGGCCTGCTCGTGAGACTCGACCGGACAAGACAGGAAAAGACACCGGACCGGAGCCGACCGGAGAGGACTGACTGAACCGAACCGAACCGAGCCGAACCGAACTGAACACTAAGCTAATTGACCAAGTAACCTAATTAACCGAACTTAACACTTTCAGAATGGAGGCAGCGCCGGGCTCAGCTGTGCCCGGACAGATTTGTCGATAGGCGATGCGATCAGCCATCAGCAAGCGGCGGTGAAGCCTGGTCCATGGCCGGGCAGGCGCGCCGCAGGCGAAGCGCTCTCGCGGGGCCTTGCGTCGTCCCACCTCGAGCCCTCGCGGGGCCACGGTCGTACGTTTACCTCCCCTCACGTGGGCTCCGTTTACCTCTACCTCCGGCGGTCTGAGACAGGTTTACCTTTACCTGAGGCCCCACATGCCAGCACTACCTCTACCTGCGCACCCGGCCCTCCGGCCGAAATAGTGCAACTGACCAGACTGTTAGAGATCCAAAGTCAACGCGTGTGTGTTGGTTGACACATAGAGTTTGACTGCGGCCCTCTAGGCGCTCTCGAAAAATGATTATAATAAAAAACTCCCCCCACAACACAAACACAAAACTAAAAAAAGAACAAAACCTAACAAAAATATGTCAGCCAACAAACAAAACATTAACAACGCAAGTCCTCCCCCCAATCCCGGCGCTCGCTTCGCTGCAGCAGAGCTCGCCTGTGTCTGACGCGAATGATGCCTATCTGAGCGGCGAAGAAGGCGGCGGGAAACGACAGGATCCAGGGCCCGAAGAGGAGCCGGAGGCACCGCGAGTCTCCGAGGCGGGCCAGGAGCACGCCCGTGTGGCACAGCATCAGGACGGCAGTTGCCGCCACCGTGGCGAGCTTGGTCCGCGTCGAGATGTGCTCGGTTGGCACAAACCCCAGCCAGACACCAGGGCATGCAGCGACGATCGCCGCGCTCGACGCCGAACGACAAAGGGCTTCTGTGTTTGCAGCGAGCACGGCGCTTGGGCGCAAGACAACTGCGGCGGTTGCTACGAGCGGAAAGGCGACAAACATTGAGCACACGATCCTTGCGGCGAGGCGATGGCCCAACACAAAGGGAGCGACCCCCGCGAGGAACATTGCGCCCAAGAGGAGCTTGGCAATAGGGGCTGCCGTCAGGTCATTCGCGTACAACACGAGGACTCCAAAGAGCGCGACTGCGGCCTGGCGAGTCATCCCCCCCTTCAGAGTCGGGGAGTTACGCTGCTTCTGCTGCAGGAGCCGCTCATCATAGAAGCCAGCGAGCGCCGCGACGAGAACGGCCACCGCGTAGAGCCCGTTCCAGCCTGCCCAGAGACCCTCTCCCGCAGCGCGCATGCGCTCGGTCAGCAGCTGAACTTGCTGCGGCGGCTCCGGTGGCGAGGGTGCAGGGGAGGGTAGAGTGGTACCGCCCTCGGCCTCTTCGCTCAGCACGCTGTCGAGAAAGGAGAGGTCGACAGACTCCTCCCTCGGGTCGGCGCCCAGCTGCGGCGGTAGCACCGCGGAGAAGACCGAGACCGCGGGCGGGGGCATTGACTGCGAGCTGGACGCGGCTGCCGACGGCGCCGGCTCTCTGGCCGATCGGCATCGCGCCTTCCGGCGCTGGCTGGTGTCTTCGGGCACCAGAGTTCCATGGGCCAAATGCATGTGCAAGCTCACAGCGCCATGCTCGTTCCGCGAGGTGCACCACTGCTCCGGGATCTCGTCCCAGGTCTGCGATCCCCCCTGAATCGGAACATCGGCTGTGCTCGTCAGCTCTGCTGCAGCAATCAGCTCCGCGGAGACGGTTGCAAACGGCCAACCCATCACGCCGCCCCCGAGGCCAAGGCCGACGGAGACAGGAGCATTGCTTGTCGGCGGCTCACGAAAGATGACGACCCGGGGTCCTGTGCAGCGCCTGGTCTGGTTGCAGATCCTGTAGGGCGGCAGCCTGCCGGTGTGTGCCGTGCTCCACACCCCATTGGACGCCGTGTTATCGAGGCGGACGGTGGGAGGCAGCACGCGGACGCGCTCAACGGGCACCCACAGCCCGTGGTGCTGGCAGCTCGCGCAGAACTTGACAAATATGGAACTGCTGCCGATCGGCTGCTCCGGGCCTGGGCGGCGCGGTGGGGACGGAACACATGAGCTGTGCGCGCCATGTGGTGCTCGATAACTACGTCCATGGAAAGCGTACGGCAGCCTCGCCTTGGCGGCACTCCATGCCGGTGAGAACCTTCCCCCAGCACTCGGCCATAGAAGGGCGCACTGCTGCATGAGGAATTCTAAGCAAGCCGAGGAATTCGCCGAGCGGTGTTACTTCCGTTTACAGTTTCCGGCGAAATGTTTCGGTACACAAAAGAATCCGAGACGCAATTGGTTCGCTTCGTATCGACCGCTTCGACCTATCTGGCCACAATGCCGATATACGCCGCTACGCTACCGATTCGTTCTGGCTCAACGAGGCTGCTGCGGGCACTCGGGGCCGACTTCTGGCCCAGCGAGGCCGCTGCGGGACACACGGGGGCAGGTTTTAGATTAGTTTTTTGGGCGAACTAGCCGACATCGATGAGGAACGCACCGCTCCGCCTGCAGCTCGCGTCTCGGGCCGTCTGCACGCTGGTTCAGCCGCCGCTGCCGCTCTGGTACAACGACCACTACCAGGTCTCGCTGCCGTCAACATCCTCGTTTCCGATGGAGAAGTACAGGTATATCCGCGAGGCGCTGCAGCGGGAGCTCGAGGCCGCCGGCAAGGCCACCTTCCACGAATCGCCGCTCGCGTCGGTCGAGGACCTCACGACGGTCCACGACGGCGAGTACGTGCGGCGCTACCTGGCCAACGAGCTCTCCCACAAGGAGAACCGGCGGATCGGCTTCCCGTGGTCGGAGGCTGGCAAGCTACGCGCTCTCTCGTCGACGGGTGGGACCGTGGCGGCGATGCACGCCGTCTGCCGGCCGGGTGGCGCCCGCTTCGCAGGCCACATCGCCTCCTCCCTTTGGCCGTCTCTCTCCCTTCACCCGAATTTCGCCTCTGCGAGAGAGGCTGCGGAGGCCGGAGTGGTGATGTCTGGCCATCTCTCCCCTTATCTCCCCAAATCGAAGGGAAGTCTGGTGTTTGTCCGCAGGCCACATCGCGGGCGGGACGCACCACGCGTTTGCAGACCGGGGCGAGGGGTACTGCGTCTTCCCCTCGGAAGTGTCTAGGATGTGTCTAGGAAGTGTCTAGGAAGTGTCTAGGCGAGGGGTACTGCGTCTTCAACGACATCGCCGTCGCCGCGGCGTGCGCGCTCCGGGACTACCCTGCCATCCGGAGAGTGCTGCTGGTCGACCTGGACGTGCACCAGGTGTGCAGTGCTGCAGCAGACTGCAACGGCTCCCACCGCCCACCGCTGCGTGAATCCTCTCACTCGGGCGGCGGCACGCTGGCGCAGCGCACCGAAGCGACAGACTTGGCACGCTCCGAATGAACGAGTTCACTCACTCCCTCGCGGCAGCACACAGCGCGGCAGTCGGCCAGCACCCGCCTGCAGAGCTCGGGCACCCGTCGAGGCACCCGCCCGGACAACGTGCGTCTTCGGTCCTCCGCGGGAAGCCCCGCGCAGAGGGCAACAGCGTCTCTGTCCCACACACGCACAGACGCACACACACATGGCTCGGGCACGGGGCCCAAGGCCGGTGTGCACTCCGCCAGCACTCGTGTGCTCACACCACTCCACCCGCCCGGAGAAGGCAGGCAAGAGTAGACAAGGCAGACAAGAGCCCACCTCTAGCGGCCCCTTCCCACTGGGTCGGACTCGCGGCGTGCACCTGCAGGGGAACGGCAGCGCGCGCATCTTCGCCGCCGACGGGCGCGTCAAGACCTACTCTCAGCATTGCGAGGGCAGAGATAGCCGAGAGAGAGCCGAGAGATAGCCGAGGGATGGCCGAGGGATAGCCGAGGGATGGCCGAGGGACAGCAGCACTCGATCGCGCAAGAGGAGCCGGAGGGGAACGGACAGTCCGACCGCCCCAACCGTACCCGAGCCCCCTCTGAAAAGGGCAACCCTCGACCGCGCGGGAGGAGCTCGAGGCCACTACTCTGACCTCACCGGGCCTCATCATCTCACAGGCAACCTCTTCTCGGCACGCGAGGCGTCGGACCTCGACGTGGACGTGCCGGTGTGTGTGTGTGTGTGGGGGGGGGGGGGGGGTTCATGAACGGGGTGCGTTGAAGGTTAAGTGAAACGCCACTCAATTATAGGTGGGGGAGGGCGACGACGGCTATCTCGCGCTGTTGGGCGGGGACGAGCCGAGATCGCGCCGAGATCGCGCCGAGATCGCGCCGAGATCGCGCCGAGAAGCGCCGAGATCGCGCCGAGATACCTCGCGCTGCTGAGCGCGACCGCTTGGCCTGCCCGCCTCGACGCGGCGCGAGAGACGATTGGCTCAATGGGCCGAATCCATTCCAGCTAGCAGATCAGATCAGCGAGCGGATCAGTGAGCTTCATCAGCCCGTTCCGCAGGCGAGCACCTGCCAAGGTTCCTCGAGGCGACGCAGCCGGACCTGGCGCGCGAGGTCTAGCCGAGACGAGAGGAGCCGATCTGGAGCCGATCTTCTAGCCGAGGTCTAGCCGAGGTCTAGCCGAGGTCTAGCCGAGGTCTAGCCGAGGTCTAGCCGAGGTCTAGCCGAGGCCTGGCCGAGGTCTGGCCGAAGTCTGGCCGAGGTCTGGCCGAGGTCTGGCCGAGACCTAGCCGAGGTCTAGCCGAGGTCTGGCCAAGGTCTGGCCGAGGTCTGGCCGAGGTCTGGCCGAGGTCTGGCCGAGGTCTGGCCGAGGTCTGGCCAGATCTAGCCGAGATCTAGCCGAGATCTCGACGCAGCCCGACCTGGCGCGCGAGAGATAGCGACACCACCTCCAGACCTCGACTGGGCCCTCCTAGACGCCTCCTCGAGCCCGCGCAAAGGCACGAGCCCCGTCTCGAGGCGACGGAATCACACGCGCCATGGCCCGCGGCACGCGTCGCATGCGCGGACAATTGGCGACGGACACAGCGCCGGGCCCCGTGGGTGTGTGGGTGTTTGGGGGGGGCGAGGGGGGGGAGGGGGGGGAGGACACCTGCCAGCTCTGTGGCGCCCCCACCGCCAAGCGCCGATTGTTCGCAGGTCTTCTTTCAGGGCGGCGTCGACCCGCACCAGGCTGGTCCACTACCGCTCACTACTACTACCGCACACTACCGCTGCTACTCTTGCTCCTCCTCCTTCCGCCGCACACGCCCCCTCTCCCTCGCGCGCACTGCGCCTCCCGCTCGAACCGCCGTGCGGCGCCTGTATCCGCACTCCCTAGACCCTGTCCTGAGCCTTCCGACAGGCGGACCGGATCGGCCGGCTCGAGCTCAGCACCGCGGGCCTCAAGAAGAGGAACGCACTCCACACACACACAGCACACACACACACACACACACACACGCGCGCGCGCACACACACACACACACACACACCGCTCCCCAACGCGCACTGGGCCTTGAACTGTTGTTGCTGTGGGCTCCTGTCGTCTAGACGCGGAGTCGCGAGGGTCGCGCCCCCGTTGCCCTACCACCTCGTGTGTGTGGAGAAGTTTACCGGACCCTTCCTTCCCTAGGAACGCACTCGTGTACCGGCTCGTCAGCGGGCTGCAGAGCGCGCCGCGGCTGGTGGTGACCTTGGGAGGAGGCTACCCCCGCAACCTCGAGCCGTCGTCGCCGCCCTTCCACCAGGTGGTGCAGAGCCACATGGACGTGTACCGCCAGTGCGCCGCGGCGCACGCGAGGCTGTGACCCACTTTGTGGCGCACACGTAGGGCCTCTCGTTGCACCTCATAAAAGTCATATTTTCTCATCTGTCCAAACCACCCAACGGACGGACCGCGGCGGAGTTGCGGCGGCGGAGACCACTTGAGGCAAACTGCGGGTAAATAAATATTTTTGAACGGATGAACGCGAGCTCGTGGGGTCCACGAAAGCACCGCTTGGCGGTGTCAGAACCGCCCTCTTTGACCCTGGGGGGCCGAATCTGCGCCCTCTGGGCCCCGGCGGCGGTCCCGGAGAGGGCCAGCACGCGGGCTCCGCCGACGCTCTCGCAACGCGGGTCGCGCCGCGCGCCTCCCGGACGAAGCGTGTTGGTGCGCGACGGCGATCCCCGCCTGCAGGGAGCGGAGCACACGCGTCGGATGGCGAGGGCAGCACAAATATTGCACTCACGTCCCAGTATGGCAGCAGCCGGACGGGTTGGGTGGCGTGAGGGCAGGGTGGTGAGGATGATTCCACAGATCTCGCTGGAAATGGCCGTGTCCTTCCCGGGGGAGGCAGGCGAGCACGCACCTCGCGTCCGAGCGCGAGTCGACGAGTGGTCGCCGAGAGATCGCCGAACCACTTTCGAGTGCGCGCGCACACAGCACAGCTGCGGGTTGTAACTCGACTGCCGATCGCGCGTGCGGGATGTAAACGCAGCTCGCTGGCGCCAGTGCACGGTGGCAGGGACTGGAGGCTCGGCCGAAGGGGAAGAGCAGTCCTCAATCGTCACGTGGAGGTCGCTGGGCTGGATCCATCGAACTGCCACACACCTGGAGCGGAGGCACATCAGGTCTTGCGGCACACTCTCCGACAGATGCATGCCTTTTGAGCAAGCCCACGCGCCTCCACCGTCGCGTAGTATGCCAGCGGCACGCCGGTACGCCGACGAGTCGTGCGCGCTCGGCAGTAATCGGCGTTGAGACTGCCTAGCGCGCACATCGAGAGCGCCGAGTTGTGTTGCCGCGAGGAATCCTGCTCGAAGATGGGGTCCGAGCGGCGCCTGATCGCATGGGATGGATCAGTGGGGCTATCACGTGGGTACTAGGCCTGCTCAGTCAGGAGTTGGCGAGTGTGTGGGAGATTCACGCCCGTCGCTCAACGTCTGTTGAAAAACTGTTCGCTGAGCAAGCTCACGGTCGAGCGGGCTTGACGCGCGCTTCAGGATAGCAAGAGGCGTGCCCACTCCCCTGAGGAGCGTGCGGGCACGCCTGGGAATCGACGTGGAGCGACCATGGACTGGGATGACAGCCGGCGAAGCGCTGCGCCAAAACCATGGCGCCGAAAAGCGTCCGCCCTCGGCGTGCTGCAAGCTTCACGGCGGAGGCTGTGAAGTCGCGGCATCGAGTTCAACCTGAGCGCACGCACGCACCGTGCTGGGGAGGAGTTGGCCTGCGAGCGGCGAGCGCTCCCGAGCGCGCGGCGCCCCGTTCTGGCCATCTTTCGCTTTACCACCACAAAATCGCCTCCATTTTGCGCGCCTCCGGTGGCAGGTCTAGCCGGGCCCGATTGATGAAACTTTTGATGGTTGCGCGCCGGATCTCGACTCCACCGTGCTACGGTGCGTCCCAAAGCAAAACTTGTGGCAGAGGGGCCAGATTGGCCGATTTATAACGACTGGACAGCGTCTGAAGGCTATTTTGCGGCGACACCGATACGCGGTTGAGGGCCCACGGTTGTGGCTAGTGGAGGGTGCTGTACAATCCGAGGGCGTTCCCGTGGCCTCACGGGCCCGGTCGACGATCGTGGCCAGAAAATTCAAAAAGTTTCATCCGTGGGGGCGAGATATTTAACTGTCTAGCTCGATTTTGACCCATAACTAGACAGAACGGCCCCAAATCGGCCCGGAACCGACCCGTGGGCCCGTCTGCCGCACCCAGCTCCGCCGGGAGGGGCGCGCGCCGTTCCCCGCGGGTCGGGCGGGCCACGCAGACACGGCGGGCGAGCTTCCCGTGCCCTGTGAGAGCCGTCACACCGCCTCAAACAGGTCCCAAAGTGGGGTTTGCCTCAAGTGGGAGACACAGCGAGAGGCCGGTTGGCGAGGCGCGTTCCTTCTCTCCTGCTCACGCGTCAACGGCGAGGCGCGCCCGCACAGAGACTTTTCACTTTACCGCGGTCCTCGCGGCTCTCGGTCTCGCGCCGGCCCGGCCGCGGGCCCGTCTCTCATCTCCGGGGTGAGCAAGTAGCGCATCACCTCGAGCGACGGCCGCTCCTGCAGCGGCCCCGGCGAGGGAAGCCGCTCCTGCTCCGCCACCCGCGCGAGGCCTTGCTCGGAGGTAAAGTGGCCCGCGCGGTCGGTTGCGCCGCCGTCAGGCTCCAGCCGGTAGCCCATCAGTGCCCACGCATGCCAGGCGGGCCGGGTCAACCCTTTCCGCTGCAGCCCGATGGACGGCTTGTCCTTGTACTTTTGAGTCTGCAGCCGGTTTTGCGCGTGCTGCGCGTTGTGGCTCATGCTCCGAAAGTGCTCGGCGACGCGGTCATCGCTCTGTCCGGCGGTGAGCGCCTCTTCGAACCACGGGCGCAGCTGGCTCAGCGGGTACCAGTACAGCTCGGCCTTTCGGCACCACTCCTCCGCGCCCCCACACTTCACCTCGACGGCGCCGAGCTTGGGCGAGAAGGGAGCGGCGATGAGCTTGTCGCGGTGCCCAAACGTGGTGACGGCCTCGCGCCCGTTGGCGTGCTCGCCGTTGAGCTTATCGCTGTCGAGCGCCATGACGAGGCCGACATCGAGCGCCGTGAGAGCTGGCGGAGCGTCGCCGAACACCGTCTTGCAGACGGCGTGCACGAGATCGAGCAGCGGAAGGCGCACGCCGAGGTGGACGCACGCGGAGGGCGGGCCGTGTAGATGAGCTCCGCCGCGCCAAAAGTGAGGCCGTTGTACGCGTGGATGTAAAAGCCCAGCACGACCTGGCCGCCGACGCGAAGCGCGGCGGCGAGAGGAGGCTTGGTCCTTGGAGACGGGCATAGCACCGACCAAATTTTTTTCCACAGCCCCGTCTCCTGAATCGCTGTCCTCGCCGGCGGTGCGGCGGCGCTGGCGGACGCGCTTTGTCCTTTGAGCACGGCGTTCGAGCGCCCCGCGACGAAAGTCGGAGGATTTGGGAGGGCGCAGGTGTGGTATTGGTTTCGCGCGCTTGTGCGGTGTTTTCCCACAAAGACTACTGCGCGGCGGCCATTTATCGGCTCATGACAGACACTGAGACACACACTGACGCGCACGCCGCCACACAAAACACCGAGACATCAACCTCACCATGGACAAACAAGTTGCTGGTTTAGAGCGCGGTGTGGGCCCGAATCAGCCGGCCGCCGGCCTGCCACATCTATTCACTCTCGGGGCAGGGAGCACGGCTAAATCCAGTCCCTCTCTACGAGCACGCGGTCCCGGCGCGCGGGCACAGACCGCCGCCAACGCTCACGGGGCGGCGGGGGACGAGTCACGGGGCGGGGGTAGTAGCGGCGAGCCGAGCCGCTTGGCGGCCCCCGCGGCGGGCGAGTGCAGCTTGCCGAGGATGAGCCCGCGGCAGAGCGGCGCGCCGCAAAAGCACTCGAACCCGCCTCGGTCGCCCGTGAGGTCGTCCTCGGTCGAGTCGTAGTCAAAGGTGAGCGACTCTCCCGCCGCCAGCGGGCGGCGCGCCACGAAACCGACGCAGAGGTCGGGCCCGACGACCACATCGCAGTTCGGGTCGCAGGAGTGGCACAGGAAGTTGTCGAGGTCGTGCGGCGTGAGCGAGGACGAGAAAAGGCGCGGCCTACCATGTGCTGAACTGGATTTGGGTGCCGGGTGTGGTAGGGTACTGCGCCGCGAGTGGTCGGCCGGGCCCGTGCGGCGTCGAGGGCGAGATCTGGATGCACGTGTTGAAATCGTCAACCTCCTCCTCCCACAGCAGCAAATTCGGAGGCAGCAGCAGCACCAGCGCGCCCTCGTCCAGCGGCACGCCAAGCTTGACGTACCTCCCCTCGTCCTCGACGCCGTCGACGCGCGGAGAGCCGCGCAGCTCCTAGGAGGAGATCTGGGGAGATCCGGGGAGGTATGGGGGGGATCTGGCGTCGACCGCAGCTGCATCAGCTCACCTAGGAGCGAGAGTGGAGACTCAGCCTGGCAATCAGAGAGGCTCGTGCAAGGAGAAGCGCGCATGCTCCTCGTCGCAAGCGGCGCTCAGCCGGTGATGCGAGATGAGCACCTATCAGCAACACCACCACCACACTCTTCCTACTGCGAATCAACTCCCGGCTGGCGGTGCGAGAGAAGCACCGCGGCTTGCCGGTTCAGCAGCTCGAGCTGCAGCCCCTTTGCGGCGCACGAGAGCAGCTCGCGCCGCTCCGCGCACAGCCTCGAGAGGGCGCGCGGGTCTGGCCTACAGTGCTGAGTACGCCAGCCTCGGGGCGGTCTCGTGCAGCGTACTCAAGAGCACCGCGTGAGAACGAGGGGCGCGAATGCAGTGAGTACAGCGGAGTGCGGCGGAGTACGTGAGTCCCCACGAGCGCTGGCGTGGAAGACCTGGCCGAGGATTCCGCTTCTAGGGCGTATGGTGGCCGGTCGGTCCACGGCGTGTCGAGGCTCGGCCCGGTCGGGCTCGGCGTGTCGAGCCGCAGCCACCACGTGCGCCTGACGTTAACGCCTCACGTCCTCCGGCTCCTACACCTCGGCCAATCTCGGGGAATCTCGGGGAATCTCGGGGAATCTCGGGGAGTCTGCGCCTCACGTCCTCCGGCTCCATCCACTCGAGCGGATGTGGCTCCGCGTGGCCCTCCGCCTGCGGTAGGAATGAGAAGGCTCGACGCCTGCCCGAGCCGCACGGCGGTGCGGGGAGAGGCTGGGGAGAGGCTGGGGAGAGGCTGGGGAGAGGCTGGGGAGATGTCCGCCTGCGCGATCCGCACAGCAATGTGCGGCATAAAGTGGCCGCAGTAGCGCTCGGCGACCGCCGGGAGAGACCAGTCGAGGGGCGAGACGCGGGAGCGGCAGCAGGCGGCGCCGCACTGGCAGTCGAACTCGGGCGTCAGGATCGAGTCCTCGCTCGTCGCGTAGTCGAACGTGATTTCTTCTCCGGGCGTGATGTCCCTCGACGCGACCATCACGCCGTTGTACTCGGCGCCGCCGTCGACGAACCAGCACGTCGGGTCGCAGGAGTGGTTCATGTAGTTGGAGACGTCGACGGTCCGTACCGTCGGGTACTCCTCGATCGGCAGCTCGTTGAACTCGGCCAGCGACTGGTACTCGTCGTCGCCAGTCTTGTACATGAAGTGGCAGTACGCGCGGCGCGACTTTTCGGGCAGCGCCTCGATCCACGCGCGCGTGCGTGGCGTGGCCTGCACGTCGGGCCCGGCGCGCGCTCGCTCCGCCCACACCACCTCGCCCTTGCGCAATCCGTAAGTGGCAAAGAGCCCGAGGCCGCCGCCGACTTCCGAGCGGGGCCGGCACACGATGTGCGGGTGGACGGTGCCGACGATGTCGGCGGGCAGCGAGGCGAGGAGCAGCGATCGGCCGGTCCACTCGTTGGACGAGCGCGGCAGCCGCGAGTATGGCAGCCCGTTCGGGGCGAGATCCTCCTCCGCCATGCGCAGAACAGCGCCCTGCTGGCAAACTTAGGCGATGCGCTGGCCAGCTCGAAAAGAAGAAATCATTCTACGGCGTGTCAGCAGGAAATGGCGGGGCGAAGCAGCGTGTACCCAGGCACCCGCAAGCAACGCGGGCCGAGCGGTGAGGCTGAGAAAAAGAATTCTAACCCGGCACGCTTGAGCGACTCGCGGATATGTTTCTTTTTCCCTCGCGTCCCGGTCTATCCCCGCCCCCATGGCCGCCGCGCGGCGCCGCCGTTCAACCTGCCAGACGAGCTCCTGGGCCCACGGAGCTAAGTCGCGGCGGGCGGTGGCGGCGTCGCAGAACGAGGCTGCCGAGGAGAGCGATGGAGTCATCAGAGGATGAAACAGCAGGAGAGAGAACGACGAGAGTGGGACGACCGCGAGGTGGCATGAAGGTCGCTGCGAGAATTGGCGAGAGACTGCGACGAGCGAGAGATAGGAAGAGGCAGACGCCCAAGGGTGGGCGACGGCTAGCACCACACTCCTCTCCTTAAAATCGCAGAGTTCTTGCTACATCAAGCGCTTGCGCTTCGGCGGTTAGTGGTGCACTAACCTCCGAGAAACCCATCGGGTCGCTCCTCATCGCAAACCCTGTCAGCAGAGTCCTCCTACGGGAATGTGCGTACAGTAAGAGCCACATTACACGGTTACACCGAGAGAGAGAGCGAGAGTGAGAGCCATCCTCGATCGCCGTACAAAGCTCGCTTCCGAGCTCTCACGCCGCGCGTAGGACCCTTAGGGGCCTAGAGAACACAACCCCCTCTCCCTCTTCTCCCAGTAAGCTAAAAGTACACCGATGCGAAAATCCCTGTGTGGGGCGGCAGCGGAGACGGACGTCAAAGGACGGCCGCGAAAGTGCACAGCACAACATAACGTGTGTGGTGGCGGCGTGCCGTCCTCCCATATCCCTCCTTTGGGTTGTTTGTCTGTTTTCTTTCTTTTCAGATTCGCGGCCCTCCTACGTTGTTGTGTACGTCAGTAATCGCACGTGTGCATGTTTTGCGTCGCACATGTATGCAGCGGGATGCCCCAACAAGCCCTTGTCCCGAAGCGGAGCTCAAGGGGACGGTGGCGGCGCGCGACGCGGAGCTCGAGAAGGTCCGGGCGGAAGTGGCTGAGCGGGCATGAGAGAGGGGCAGCGCCCCACGCCCTGCTCCCTCGTCGCTAGGCACCAGTGAGAGCAGTGTGACCACGCCGTGTGTAGAGGGAGCTCGCGCTCCTGCGACGCTGTTGACTCTTCCCTACAAGTACTCTCAGTCATCGCACGCACGCTCTCTCTTCTCTCTTCTTCAGGCATATTTCAAGCATCGAGAACACGTGTCCGCCCGCACCAAGCCCTTGTCCCTTACCCAGCCTTCTACGAGTAAACGGGCTCGAGCAACTCGAGCATGGCGCCACCCGCCCGCAAGCGCGCCCGCACCGCCGGCGAGGACGGCGACTCGGACGGCGGGGCATAGCGGCTTAGCGGCATAGCGGGTCAGCAAGCCCGAAACGGCGGGAGGGGTAGGGCTATCTCGGAAGAGCTAGAGGGCTCAGCCACCCCTCCACCCCTCCGCCCTGCACTCCTCCACCCTCCCGGGGCGATAGAGGTCCGTCCTCGAGCCCTCCCACTTCCACCCCTCCGACCGGAGGGCTCGCCAGCCCACAGGGCTGGAGGGGTCCCCGTCGGATCGGCGTCGGGAGGGCTCCACAGGGCTAACCCCCTCCCTGGACGCCGGGTGGGCTCGGAGGGACGGTCGGACAAGGGAGGAGCTTCGTGGCGGGAGGGCTCGAGAGGGGTCGGAAGGGCCCTCCGGGAGGGTCGCAAAAAGATAAAAAAACGAAGTCGCGGCTTATGTGACTGCCCCTCAAGAGGGCTCGGAGGGCTCGGAGGGCTCGAGCTTCCGAGCCCTCCAGACCCCTCCGAGCCCTACTGGAGCCCTCCAGCCCTCCAAGCCCTCCTTCCCTCCGAGCCCTCCGAGCCCTCCAAGCCCTCCGAGCCCCCCGACCCCGGTTCGGCGGCTCGCCCCTCCGAGCCCTCCGGGCACTCCATCCCTTGTGAGCCCTCCCGAGCCCTCACGAGCCCACCAGCGCCACCCTCGTGCCTCTCTGCCCTCCGAGCCCTCCGACCTCCGAGCTCTCCACCCCTCCCAAGCCCTCACGAGCCCTCCTACGCCTCGCTTTTGGCCAGCCCTCCCAGCTTCCACCCCTCCGAGTGCCCTCCTGGGCCCTGCCGCCTGACACCTCTATCGGTGGAGGGCTTTAGGTCACGGTCCTCACTCCCGCCCTCCCGACCCCTCCACACCCCTAAAGCGGCACCCTACCCCTCCCGCCGTTTTAGGGCCTCCTGACCGCACTCCGGCGGGGCTGTGGCGATCGCGGATGGCTTCGAGGCGCCCCTCTTTGGCGCGCCCGTCGTCGGCCAGGTCACCACGCTGCCGCTCGAGCGAGGGCGAGGACGGCGCTCTGGCAGCGCAAAGGGTGAAGGGCATCGTGAGCGATCACGCGGGCAGCGAGGTTGTGGCCAGGGGGGCGAGGGCAGGGCATAATCTTATGCACAAGATTATGCACCACGCGGGCAGCGGCGCCTATCGCTTCTCTGATGGCGTGGGCGGCGCGGCGCAGTTCTACAACCCAAACGGCGTCGCCATCAGCCCGGACGGCAGCGCGCTGTTTGTTGCGGACGAAGTCAACCACAAGATCCGCCGGGAGGTGGCGACGGGCGCGGTGACGACTGTCGCGGGTAGCGGCACCGCGGGCAGTGCCGACGGCGTGGGTGGCACGGCGCAGTTCGGCTACCCAAGCGGCGTCGCCGTCAGCGCCGACGGCAGCACGCTGGTCGCTGCTGGTTTGCACGAACGACGGTGGCCTCCGCCAGGTCTGCGTGTCAGCGCCTCCTCCGCCCCCCACCTTCGCGCTGATTGTGGTGCCGCCCTCGACCCTCGTGGCAGACCTCGGAAAGACGTGGGGCGACGCTACTCTGCCCCAGGGCATGGTCACCCTCCTCGTCGGCGAGGACGAGGAGCGCCTCGAGCACGTGAGTAAGAGCCAGCTCTGCGTGCGGTCCGTGTTCTTTCGGACCATGTTCGGCATCGGCATGAAGGAGCGCGACGCCGCCGAGGTCACGGTGCGCAACACCGACCTCGCCACCTTCACCGCCCTCGTCCGCTACCTCTGCACCGACCAGCTCGACCTCGGCGAGGAGGAGGGCGGCAGAGCGCAGCGCGCGCTCGACCTGCGGCAGCTGGCGCAGATGTACCAGGTGCCGCGCCTCGAGCTGCTCTGCGCGCAGGCGCTGCAGGAGAGCGTCGGGCCGGCGAGCGCCGTGCCGCTGCTCGAGGCGGCGCACACGATGGGCGACGGGCGGCTCCTCGCGCAGTGCCGCCGCTGCGTGGCGGACCACGCCGCCGAGGTGCGGGCGAGCGGCGGCGTGGAGCAGCTGCGCGACCTCGGCGTGGCCAAGGGGCTGCTCGGCGACGCGCTCGACCAGGTGGCGGAGCTCAAGGGCGCGATGCACGCGCTCTGCGTCGCGGAGAGCTGTAAAAGAGCGCAGGGCTTTGTCACGTGCAACCATGTGATTTTGTTCACCCGATGTGCTTTCGGGTGGGGGGGGTCTCGCTTTCGGTTTGATCTTTGAAGGTAAAGTGTGTGTCTTGTGGGTTGTCGAAACCTTGTAGAGTACACTACCTTGCAGCTGTGGAGGATGGCTCGCACACCGCGCTCCGCGGCAGCTGCCACCGTGAGATACCGTGGCACCGAGGAGCGCGCACGCGTGTGACCGCACCGTTTCAGTGTATCTGAGATAAGACGGATGTCGGATTCCCGACGCTGACGGTCGCCCCCCCCCCCCCCGTCGCCCCGACCCGATACTCGGCGACGTGTTTCAACGATGTTGACCGCTGCTGTGTATGACGATTCAGAGTAGATTCGAGCTCAGAGCCTACAACTTCTCGAGTCTCTTTACTGGGCTGGGTTTTTAGGCATTGTGGGGTTGGCACTCCCATCGACCCTCATGACCTCCTGCGGTCTCTGAGATGGACACCAGTGGGTGTGGGACCACAGCCAGGATACAACCGAAGGCTGGGTAAGCAGTAGATGTCGATACTCGACGCGTCCCACATGGTCTGTGTCGCTGTCGGCACGCTGTCGACAGGACGTCGAGCGACACCGGTGGCAGTGCCACCCAGGAGTGGTCGGGCGGTCTCCCGTCATGAAAGAGCCACCATGTGATCCGTATGATGATTCCTGACAACCGCCTCAGTCAACTTTCGTCACAGTTCCCGCTCTGAGAGGAGCTGAGGGTCAGTTCGACAGCTGGAGCTGTGTCGCCGGCGTGCGGCGGCCTGCCTCCGGAGGTGCCTCTGAGGTGGACATTTCTTGGTCACCGTGAGAGAACGCGTTCGAATTTTCACTCCGGAACTTCAACTCCGCACGCGCACCGGCCAGGGCTACAATAGTGCCAGTGAGGCGGAGGCGCGAGTCGGAAGGCCGCGACCGTCAAGTGTTCCCGTCATTTTCCTACAATCGCTGTGAACCCAGCCACGTAAGGTAGGCGACCCACCTCTCCTACACGCGTAGAGCTGTTGCTTGTTGCGTCCCCACGCGCTCGAGGGGTGGCACAAAAGCGTGCCGGTGTGCTGGCGGTGGCGCGACCGCGTGTGGGGTGTGGCCGTGCCGGTGCGTGCCCGCCGCCGTGCGCCCCGAGAAGTTCTCTCCCGGCTCCCGCCCCCAGATGTGAGCGCGCGGAGATGGTGATACATTAGAGTTCCCCAATTCGAACGTGTACACGGATTCCATCGAGGATTCCATCGTGGCGCGTGTGCAATATTACACAGGATGTGTCGATTTGTCGTGCGCTTGTGTGGCGAGAGAGGTCTCTGTGAACATGCGCATGGCTCCAGAGCGTGATATGACACAGATCTCAACAATTGAGATCTAGTCGAAAAGGAGCGACCTCCTCCGCGACCGCCCGCAAGGCAAGTCGCGTCCGACGTTTGGACCGCATCGCACGCGGACCTCCTCGCTCTCCTCTCCAGCCACGCCGGGTGCGTCGCCGTCGGCAGCCGCTCCCTCGCTGACCGCAGCGTGCCCGAACGCGGCGTGCGCCTCGGGGTCTCGCAGCTTGCGCCGGCCGCTCTGAAGGTCGCTTGCTAGTGCCGTGATCCCGATCGCGGCCCGCAGGGCGCCCAGCGCCACACCGTGCTCGCTCTCCTCGGCCGTGTTCTCCGCCGCCGCCGCCGCGGCTTCAGCCGCAGCAGTCGCCACCCCCACGGGCGCCGCCGCCGCCTCGTCGGGCGAAACCAGCCTCGGCGCTCTAGTTATCCGCAGGGGACCGCTGCCCCGAAGCGCCTCGGGCGTGCCCTGGATGTGACCGCCCTGGTCCAAGCGCGCGTAGTCCGTCTCGGTGTCGCGCTCGAGCTCGTGGAAGCGGTTGATGGCGTTGGCCGGCGCGGCAGAGGCAGTCCAACCGCCATCCGCCCGCTCCTTTTCCGCGCCACTCGCTGCGGCGAGATTGCTGCCCGCGATGCTCGTCGCCTCGACCGCCGCCATGCCACCCAGCTCGGTCGCCGTCTCAGCAGTCGCCACGCCGTACTTCACGTGGCTGATGACGTCCAGAGCGACGTACTGCGGCCAGGGCGCCGGCTCGGCGCCCGGCTTTGCGGGCGCCTCGACAACCGGGCCGCCAAGGTAGCCTCCCTCCGTCGTGAGCACGTCGTTGGCCGCGGGGTGCTCCTGCCACCGCAGAAAGTTGACGTGGCTGTGCAGCGGGCCGGAGGCGGCGCCGTTTTCAGGCCGCGGCTCCGGCATCTTGCCAAGGCCCGCGAGCAGCAGCAGCATGGCTCGATAAGTTTGGTCCGCGAGCTTGTTAAGGGCGCTCGACGTCCCAACTGGCGAGGAGGCCCAGTGGCGAAAAGGTGAGCGCCAGGCGGAGAAGGCGGAGTTGCAAGCAAGGTGGCTGCGTCTGTTTGTTTTTTTTGACTAGTGGAGGGGACCTGCGGCGGACCCGCCTCTGTTGTTCGGGCAGTGAGAGACGCAGGATCTGCACGCCAAAGTGGGGCCACTCCGCATTTTCATTTTGGTTTTGGGTTGTCGGAGATCACCCATCAGCACTCATAGTCAGTCACGTCTGTCAAAGCAGTTGTGGCACGTGAGCAGAGTCGCTGCATGCAACGGCGCCGCCACACGCTCCGGACGACCGACACACCGACACACCACGCACAATGGGAGGCTATCGCGCACGATCGGCCATCGCACCCACCGCAAACACCTCGCCGCGCAGATGGGGGGAGGCATAATCCCACCCACACACACCGGAGCAGCGCAGACACCTTACACGTCAGCGCTCGCTCGATGTGGCCGGCGCTCTCCCCTCGGTCCTATCTCGCCTTTTCAACGGCGGCGTGCGGCCACGCGCCGCGCCGAGCCGGTCTCGGCGGGAGACCTCAGAGCCGCACGCGATGCGGGCATGCGCGATGGCTCCGTTGGCTCCGTGCCTAAGGCAGATAGATTAGGGTGGTGAGCTGCGGCAGCCACCGTTTCTGTACCTCGATCACGTGCAGGCCGTCGGAGGCCGCGCTGGATGGCCCAGGGCCGGCGGCGGTGAAGGCGTCCGTCGATGAAGGGATGTCGTCGAGGGAGCCATCGTCCTACGGGGCTGGTGCACCGGTCCAGTTGTCGGAGTTCGAGATCGCCGTCGACTTTTGGAGAGTTCGGCCCGTTGACGAACTCACGGAATGTGAGCGACTTGGTGCACGCTGATAGTCGAGCATCATGGCTCGCACCTCATCCTGAGCGCAAGGAACTCGCCCAGGGGTCAGCTGTTGGCGTCGCCGTTTTGATCGAGCTGCATCCACTGCATGGTTTCGTAGCCAAGCGTAAACGCCCAGGAGTTGTTGCCTGGGTGACTTGCTGATGAGAGCGCCTTCCAGGCGGGTAGTCGTGCCCCTCACCTAAGGTCATACGGCGGCGTCAGAGGGGGTGGAGGGGCGCGAAGCGTGAACATGGAGGCAAGCAGGTGGTGGCTGCACCTGGCCAAAGCCGGCGACCTCAAAGTTGTCGTAGGTTGTGCGGGTGTCGCTGAGCGTGAGAGGGACTGGATCGGCAGCAGCGCGGGCGGCAGCGGCCGGAGAGAGGCCGGAGAGCCGTCGGACGGAGGCCGGTCGTGCATCGGCGCGTCGGCCGTAGGGGCCGGGGGGGCGGCGGCATCCATCGCTGCGGGTCGCTGCGGGCCGACGATTGTGGACTGATCGATCGTCGGCGGGCGGTGTTCTCGAGTGTTCAGCTGGGACGTTCTACGTTAAAAGAGCGTCGGCGCCGACACGAGAGACTTATAAGGGTAGACTAGTGTGGGACCTGCGGCGGTACCCGCCTCTGTTGTTCGGGCAGTGAGAGACGCAGGATCTGCACGCGAAGTGGGCTCCCCTCCGCATTTGCATTTTGGTTTTGGGTGTCGGAGATCATCCATCGCAAGCATTGCTAAAAATCTCTCTCTCGCAAGCACTCATCAGTCAGTCACGTCAGTCAAACCCGCGCCGAGCCGGTCTCGGCGGGAGACCTCGGAGCAGCACGCGATGCGGCGGGCGTGCGCGATGGCTCCGTTGGCTCCGTGCCTAAGGCAGATAGATTAGGGTGTGAGCTTCGGCAGCCAGTCGGAGGCCGCGATGGATGGCCCAGGGCCGGCGGCGGTGAAGGCGTCCGTCGATGAAGGGATGTCGTCGAGGGAGCCATCGTCCTCCGCGGCTGGTGCACCGGTCCAGTTGTCGGAGTCCGAGATCGCAGTCGACTTGGAGAGCCCGTTGACAAACTCACGGAATGTGAGCGACTTGGTGCACGTTGGGTCGGCATCATGGCTCGCACCTCATCCTGGGCAAGGAACTCGCCCAGGGACCAGCTGTTGGCATCGCCGTTTTGATCGAGCTGCATCCACTGCATGGTTTCGTAGTCAAGCGTAAACGCCCAGGAGTTGGTGCCTGGGTGACTTGCTGATGAGAGCGCCTTCCAGGCGGGTAGTCGTGCCCCTCACCTAAGGTCATACGGCGGCGTCAGAGGGGGTGGAGGGGCGCGAAGCGTGAACATGGAGGCAAGCAGGTGGTGGCTGCACCTGGCCAAAGCCGGCGACCTCGAAGTTGTCGTAGCTTGTGCGGATATCGCTGAGCGTGAGAGGGACCGGATCGGCAGCAGCGCGGGCGGCAGCGGCCGGAGAGGCCGGAGAGCCATCCGACGGAGGCCGGTCGTGCATCGGCGCGTCAGCCGCAGGGGCCGGGGGGGCGGCGGCATCCATCGCGGGTCGCTGCGGGCCGACGATTGTGGACTGATCGATCGTGGCGGGCGGATTTCGGCTGGGACGTTCTACGGTTAAACCAAGAGCGTCGGCGCCGACACGAGAGACTTATAAGGGTAGATTTTATGTCGCTCTTACGTTTAGAGAGAGCGTTGTTGTTTGTTTTTTGTTGGCACTAGCGATTCTAACGCCGGAGCGATTTCTTCAAGTGCGCGCCAGTCCAATGCTTACTAAGAAAAAGAAACTCAAAGTGCATTCGCCTTCTATGGACCCACACCCAGTTCTGACTCGGCGCCATTTCTTCCTTGCCGTGCCATCCGCTCGGGGCCGGCGGCTTGCTCGTCAGCCACGCTTTCGCTAATGTCCCGCGAGATCCCGACCTCCGCCGAGGCGGAGGCCCTTCGGTCGCGCGGCGTGCACGAGTCCTCCGACCTCGAGGGCGCCGAGATCGCCATCAAGGACCTCCCTGCGCTGCCCGAGCCTCACCGGTGCGAGCAGCTCTCCGAGAGCATGCTCGGGATCACCGTGGTGTCGCTGCTCATCGCGCTCTTCGTCGGGCTCACGCAGGGCGTCGCGGTCGGCGCGCCGCCCTACGGTGCAGAGTGGCTCGCGCTCGTGTGCATCTACCTCGAGGCGGCCGTGGCGATCGGCGCACTGTGCGGGCTGCTGTGCGGCGACCCGGGCGTGGTGCGACGCTCGCCCGAGACGTGCTACCCGGTGCCGCCCGAGGTGCTGGCGCGGCTGCAGCGCGGGGAGAGCCTCATCGGCCTCTCCAACATCACCGACCAGCAGCTCGGCCGCACGTACTGCGTGCGCTGCCTGGTCTGGAGGCCCGACGGCGGGAGCATGGGGTCGCGCTTCCCCGGGTCGAGCATGTGCCACCACTGCGCCACCTGCCAGCGCTGCGTCACCGACTTTGACCACCACTGTGGCGTGTTTGGACGCTGCATTGCCGGCTCGGGCTGGCGAGGGAACATGAAGTACTTCAAGTGCATCATCTCGATGGCGGGCTGCGCGATGCTGACGTGCATTGCGCCGCTCATTGTGAGGATAATCCGCGAGCCGACAACACCGCACAGCTCGTCCCGGACGGTGGGCTGATGCGCGCACAGGTCTGCACGGGGCCGCTGTGCGCGCGAGCGGACGGGTGTGGGCCTCCGCCCTCTGGCCGAGGCGGCCGATGCTCTACTCCGCGGATCGTCGCGTGAGTCTCTCGCTGTCTCTGTTTGTCTATGTGAGTCGTATTCTATCTGCTCTGCGCAGCAGAACGCACGCATGCAGGCGCGGTGGCCGGAGACAGAGCGCCGAGCGCGCTGCAACCATGGCTGCACGCCAAACCACAGCACAAGCCAGCGGATCGGAACGCGGAAGGGCTTTTGGCGGATTAGGAGGCGGAGAAGGAGACGGAGCAGCGCGCCAAGGAGCGCAAGGCCAAGAAGAAGAAGAAGGGCAGGGGCGAGACGTGGCTCAGCCCTCTGCTACTTGCGTACGATCGAGAGGCCAATCCGCGAGGAGCCGCTCGCGCGCGAGGTCCACTTTGTGATCACTGCGCTTGCCGCCGCGCTCGCTCACTGATTGCCAGGAGATGGATCAGAGGCGTGTGGCTGAGCCGGGCTTTGCGCTGACGCTGAGCGACTGTCCGAAGAGAGGCTTCTTGACAGTCGTCTGGCACGTCCGCACTGACCCCATGCCGAGCTTGACCTCGCAGGAGGCGCACGTGCCTGCCTTACACTGGTAGGTGATCTGCACGCCAGCGCGATAGGCGGCCAGGGAGAGAGGCGAGCCCTCAGGCACCGACGCAGAGCGGCCACCCGGGAATTTGACGAGCACGTCCGCCATCACTGCGCCAGGCCGCCTCCTTGTCCCTGGAGCGAAGCTCTGTTGCGGCACGAGGGCTGTGAATGCGTGGAGGAGGAGGAGAAGCGTCTGCATCGTGAATTACTGCAGTGGTACTCGAGGCAGATGGGGCTCGACACGCCTCCCTCCCTCTCCCGTGGAAATCGAGGAAACTGTGGCTGACGAGACGAACGACGCAACCCGACACGAGTATAACGAGAGATTTTTTGCGCCTATTTTTCTGACGGGACAGGGGCAAGCAAAACAACAAACACATGACCTGTGAGTGTTAGAGTTGTTTGGTATTGCTAAAAATCTCTCTCGGGGCAAGTAGGGTATGTGCGAGGTATGAACGTATCGGGGTATCTATTTCCATCTTCGGGGTAGGCAAGTAAATCCTGCCTGCTGTTGCGCCAGCCGCCAGGTAGGTAGGCGTACGCCGGTACTAAAAGATACCTCGTAGACGCATAGCAAGACGTATGCTGGTATGGGGAGTTGAGACGCACATATGGCAGTATGTTGCAGCTCGTCTCAAGTACACAGGTAGCGGCGGTCGCACCTGCAAGTATGGGTACGGGGATACCACTCCTTACGTGGTCCCGCAACCCGCCCAAGTACCCAGGTATCTCGGGGGCGCGCTCCAGTATCTGCAGTATCTGCAGTATCTGCAGTATCTGCAGTATCTGCAGTATCTGCAGTATCTGCAGTATCTGCAGTATCTGCAGTATCTGCAGTATCTGCAGTATCTGCAGCGCTTCCGAGGCGACTCGGCTGCCGCGCGTCTTTTGCTCTTTTGCGATCACGGAGCTCGCATAGTGCAGCAGCTTCTCGAGGAGCCGCTCCGCCTCGAGCGAGTGCCATCCGGCGGCCGCCGTCGACACCTCCCCCCGCAGTGACTTCTCGGCTCGCCTCAGCATCCGCTCGCGCACGCGGCGGGTAAGCAGCAGCTGTTGCGGCTCCTCGCTGGCGGCTGGCGTCTTGTCGCCCGCGAGCAGGTTGAGCGCGCGGCCCTTTGCGCCATCGTCACTGGCGCCAACGGAGGATGCCGCGACCACGAGCCGGCCCGAGTCGAGGCGCCGCTGCCGCAGCTGCCCGCCGTGTTCCTCGAGCAGCACCCCTTCAACGTGGGCGGCCGCTAGCCGCCGCAGCGCTCAGCCTTGTGTGACACTATGAGTCAGACCTCTGGGACCTGAGGACGTTGAACCTCCCGCATGGCCGCATGCACGAAACGCATGCTGTGTTGAGGGTGAGAGATACCGTATAGAGAGCGAGACAGAGAGAGAATCTTCTGTGCCGTTTGCACCTCGTCTGTCTGTCTCTGTTGCGAACACTGTCGGTGGGAGCGAGAGCCGAGACGGAGTCCGACCCGGTTCGAGACGGAGTCGAGACGGTGCGGACTGGGGGAGATCCGTGTTCGTGGAGACGGCCAGATCTCGAGTATATTTACAGTCATTTTATATGATTTCGAACCAATTACTATGTTTCAGCGTGAAGGCTGAAGCCGTGTGATGTGTGAAGCACAGGGCGCGCGGGCGCGCGTGTTGAATCCCGGCCGACGAGCGATCCCGGCATAGCGCGCGCCACTGCACAAGTAGACTTCTAACGCCTAATTAAACCTTTCTATCGATAGTTCTGTCCTCTTGCCGCCCTCAAGGTGGCTCTCCTCGAGCCGGCGCGCCGCCCCGTCGCACCGCTCCGCCTCACGGCCGGCGCGGTAGTCGAGCCAGCCATGCACCCCGAGCGTCGCCCACACGGTGAGGCCGCCGCCGATCGTGAAGGGCGACGGCACCTCGCCGAGGCCGAGGTAGACCCAAAACGGCACGAGCGGCATGTCGGCGAGGAGGATGAGGCCGACTTCGGCGCCGGTGACGAGCTGGCACGCCTTGATGCAGCACACCCACGCGAGGCCGGCGAGCGCGCCGTTGCCAATGATCAGCGGATAGAACTCGGCGTGTGGCGGGCAGAGGACGGAGCCGTGGGCGACGGCGACGATCGCCGCCGTCATCCCGCAGCCGAGCGCGCCCCAGCACGCGAGGCCAGCGGTGGGCGCGCCGGGGCATCGCCTCCCAAACAGGCGGCAGCAGAGCAGGAAGGCCTGAAAAAAGAGGCCGGCGCCGATCGCGACCAAGTTGCCGTACCACGTGGCGCGCACCACGCGCTCGGGCCGCAGCAACTCATCGAGCGAGCGCGGCGCCGCAGTGTCGACGGCGGCGCCGTCGGCGGCTCCGATGATTTCGGGCAGGAAGGCGACGAACGCGCAGGCCACGCCGACGGCGACGGCGATGGCGGTGCGGACGGGCAGCACGTCCGACAGAAAGAGACAGCCGAGCGCGGCGCCCCACAGCGGGTTGATCTCGATCAATACGACCGCGTTGCTGGCGGCCGTCGTCATGTAGGCGGTGACGAAGCAGGTGTTGGTGGCGGCCGTGAAGAGCGTGGCGAGCAGCGCAGGCAGCAGGACGCCCTTCCGGCGCAGCGTGCACGGGAGGACGGCACGGCGCACGCCGCGCAGTGAGCCTCGCGGCGCGAGCGACGCCGCGTAGAACAAGTTGATAGCGCCGACGAGGACGAATTTCCAGAAGACAATGTTCAGCGTGTTGCCGCCGTAGTGTCGGCGCGCGAGTCGAGGCAACACCGCGTCTGGGCTCCACGACGCCGTGGCGACCGCGGCGAGGAGGTAGCCACGTCGGCGCTTTTGCCACGCCGAGGCGCGCGGCGGCACCGGCGGCGGGTCCGGCGGCACCGGCGGCGGGTCCGGCGGCACCGGCTCCGCGGCAGGGTGCATCGGCAGATATAGGGTTCCGAGCCTTGTCCGAGCCGCCGTCGACGATGGAGGGCTCGTCCTCGATGCAAGACTGGCTCGCGCCGCGCCACGTCTGCACGGCGCTAATGCCGATCCTCCGCTCAGCATTCCAGGCGCAGGAGGCGTCGGCGCCCGACGTTGCCGGCGGCAGTGGCGATGCCGGTTTCCGACGCGCGCTGCGCTCGAAGCACACGGCGCAAACGATGCTCCAGTATGCATTCCAGAACAACCCGATCGACGCGATCATCGACGCGATCGCCGACGCGATCGCGAAGGAGGCGTGCGACGTCTACGCCGACCCGGATGTCGTCTCGCGGCCCGCCTCGAGGCGCGAGGCGGAGGCGCAGCCGATGTATGCGGCGGTGATCGCGGCGGTGCGCGCGGTCGAGGACGACGCCGCCCTCGCGACGGAGGCCGAGGGCGTGACGGTGAGCGCGGTGATCGCCGCCGACGAGCGCGACGGCGCCGCCGACGGCGACGGCGACGGCGGGCGCCCGCGCGGGGGGTCAAAGTCGATGGCGGAGCTGTCGTCATGGAGGTCGTCGGTTTCGTCGACGACGGCGGGCGACGACCTCCACGAGCTGTGGTCGGCGTCGAGCTGGGCCGAGGGGCTCGGCCTCTCCGAGATCGTCGCCGAGGCGCTGACGGCGCCGCTGCGCGCGGGGAAGGCTCGCTACGCGCGCAAGGGCGGCCGCTGGGGCCGCGGCAAGCGCTCCGACTCGGGCGGCGCGGCGCCCGCCGACGCCAACGTCGCGCGGTACGAGCTGCCGTACGTCAAGGAGCTGGGGAGGCTCGCGACCGACGGCGGCCTCACCTTCGAGGCGTTTGTCGAGTTCCTGCTCGCGTCGGCGCTTGTGCCTGAGATTGCGGCAGTGCTGTGGGACGAGGCGAAGGCGATCGCCGAGGAGATGCCGGCGAACACCGCCGAGCTCGTCGACAAGTTCAAGCAGGACGGATGCTTCGAGATGTCGTACGGATCGATCTCGACCTTCTTCGGCGGCCTCGAGGGGCTCATCGGCCCGCCTGACCCGAAGATGCTGCCGCGGATGGTCTACGAGCACTGCAACTCCGACGACTCCCGGCAGCCGATCGTCGCCACCAATTACATGACGACGACCACGCCGGAGATTGAGTGGCTCTTCGTCACCGTCGGCCGCGCCGCCGACCCGCGCGCCGTCGCCGCCCTCGCCGCGCGCGGCCTCACGACGTGGCCCGTCGAGGAGAAGCTCCTCGCGCCCGGCGGCAACCGCGAGCACATGCGAACACCCATCGCGCCCGACGACCCGACGATGCTCTCGCAGCGCGAGGAGGTGAACGGCCGCCTCGCCGAGCAGAAGACGAGCGCGCTCTGCGACGAGGAGTTCTACGGCGCGCGGCTGTACACCGGGCCCATGTTCTTGAAGTACAACGGCACGCTGCGCGCGCTCGCGTCGTCGTCGGCGCCGGCGCCGCGCAAGAAGCTGCGGCGCGCAGGGCACTGGCAGCGGTCGACGCGCCAGTCCCAGCGGCCGAGGGCGAGCCTGGCGGCCGAGGGCGAGCGGTCACCGGTGAACACGTACACGACGACGCTTCACTGCATCAACTCGGCGATCATCAAGCTGTCGAAGCTGATGACGGCCGAGACGGTGTACCGCGGCATCAGCGGCGCGATGCTCCCCGATTCGTTCTGGCGGCCAAACGCCCAAAAGGTGCGCGGCGGCGTCGAGTACGCGTTCATGTCGACGACGCTCGAGGAGGACGTCGCCAAGTTCTACGCGGCGGGTGGCGCGAAGGGGTCGAAGGCGGGGGTGCTCTTCGAGGTGCAGATGGGGATGATCGACCGCGGCGCTTCGATGGAGTGGCTCTCGCAGTACCCGCACGAGCGCGAGATCACCTTCGCTCCGCTCACCGGCCTCGAGGTGGTGAACACGACCATCGATCAGTCGGTGTTGGTCGTGCAGGTGCGCCTCAACATCAACCTCCAGGCGCTCACGATCGAGGAGGTCGTCTCGAAGCGCCACAAGCTCTGCCGCGAGATTGCGCAGAACGTCGTCTCCAACTTCCGCCCCGAGAAGAACGACGCGTGGGCACCGCTCGTCGAGCTCGACCCTCAGGCGCCCGCGAAGGCGAAGGCCGAGCTGCTGCGCGTCGCCGCCTCCGTCGTCGAGGCGCCGGCGCACGAGTTCAACGAGGACTCGGCGTTTGGGGAGCGGGTCAACGCGATCGTGGCGGCGCGCGCCGGCGTCGAGTGGTCGGTCGGCCTCGCAGCGATCCTGTCGAAGTGCGGCCTCGCGTCGGTGGCCGAGCTCAAGGCAAAGGGCGCCGCCGCATGCGCGCCGGTGTTCCGCGCGAGTGAGGCGGCGCTCGGCGACGAGATGATGTCCGCCGTGTGCATCCTGCACCAGCTCGGCTACCTCGACGAGACGATCGAGATTGACATCACCCAGAATACCATCGGCCCGGCGTCGACGAAGCGGTGGGCCGAGCTCCTCGACGTTCGCGACCTGCCGAAGCTCCAGATTCTGGGGAACTGGGGCAACGAGCTTGGCGACGCGGGGATCATCCACATCGCCGACGCGATCTCGCGCGGCCGCCTAGGCGGCCTCGAGCAGATGCGCTGCGGCGCCAACAAGATCGGCGAGGACGGCTTTACCCACTTGATGGAAGTGCTCCTCACCGGCGTCAACCCCAACCTGACAGTGGTCGGCTTCTACGACAACCACACGCTCGGCGACCAGTCGGTCACAACGATGGCCGCCGTCGCGGCGGCGGGCCACCTGCGCAAGCTCGAGAAGACTGACCTCTCGACGAACGCCGTCGGCGACGACGGCCTCGTCGCGCTGTGCGCCGCCGAGCGCGAGCACGGCGCCTTCCCCTCGCTCCTCGAGATGCGCGTCGCCTTCAACCGCTTCACCGACCGCGGCGCGCTCGCGCTCGCAGCGACTCTCGCGGCAGGCGGCTTCCCGAAGCTCACGCTGCTCGACTTCACAATGAACAAGCTGATCACCCAGAAGGGGCGCGACGCCCTCACAGCCTCGTGCGATGGCACCGACGGGCCGAAGCGGCCGTTCGTGCCGGCGGCGTGACTTTCCTGTCCACCGAGTCGCCCCGCGCGGCACAGACGGAGCGCGTGCGCGTGACAGGAAGCTCTCGGCAGGTTGGGTGGGAAGCAAGCTAAAAACCCGGTTGTTTCTTTTTTGCACTCGAATCTGTGAACCTCGCGGGGGCTCGAGTCTTGCTCACGCTGCTCCATACCTAAATCTCTTCCGACAGAGAGCAGCTGGGATTTGCGTCGCTGCTGGCCAATGGCAATGCCTCTGGCAGTGCATATTCTGCTTTTGGCAGCTGTTCCACCGAGGCTGTGGGGTGCCGCACCCGCTGTTGTATAGCGCAATCGGCACCCACCCGTATCTGCAGTATCTGCAGTATCTGCAGTATCTTGCAGTATCTGCAGTATCTGCAGTATCCGCGTACAAGCGGCGAAGTCTGTGGTATTGAAGTATGCATGCTTCAAGTGCTTCGCCATACTTCGACACTTGTATGTGGGAGGTATGGCAGTATTGTGCCGCCCCTCTCGCTCGCAGTATTCTCCCGTGACGAAAAACGAACACAGACCAAGCGCTAAGCGTGAGGACACGAGTTCGAATACGTAGGAGGCATCTGGGCAAAATTGAGCCCGCCCAGGTGTGAACAAAAATATAAGGGTCGACCAGGTTTCGAACTGGGGACCTCCCGCATGCGGGAAGGCTTCCAGCAAGATACGCTGGAGTTGAAAGGAAGAGAAGGGCTGGAACAACCTATTAATAAATAAAAATAGAAATAAAACCGGGGGAACTAGACACAACAGATACGCACACCGACGCCCGAAGTGCCAAGAAGGACGTCATTAGTACGAAACCTCAGAAGGCCATGGGCGCTGAGAGAACATTCCCTCGAGAGGACAAAAAAAGAAAAAGCCGTGGCACCCCTCCAGCCCTCCTTGCGCGGTGTCCCCCGCTATGTGTCGCCGATTGGGGCACGCTATCCTGTGCAGTCAGGGCAAGCGGGGGAGGGGGGCAGTCCCTTTGACGTATGTATCTCTGGGTTCTGTCTCCAGTCTCGGAGGGGGGCAAGAAGCTAAGAATATTTGATTTTCTCGCTCGCAGTATTGCAGTACGAGGAGGCCGGACGCCGGTATCTGGGTACCGGGCGCACTGGGCACGAGTACAGCAGTACGGATACCTGGCCCTACCACAGTGTGAGTCCTTGTCAGGTATGGCAGTATGGCGCTGACTTCCTAATGTACCCCAGTATAGCCAGCCATTCGCGCCGCGCGGATACTTTTATATACTCCACTTGCCCGCGAAGGTGCCGCCTTGGCTCTGTAATCGTCCGTCCGCCGCTCTGTAACATCGTCCGCCATGACACCGCAGACACGACCGCCTTGCGCGACTGGTGTTCACACACGAGGCGTGAGGGACTTGGAGCATCGGGTGAACTCGGGCGGACATATCCGGCGCGAAGGCACGGGCGACCGTGAAGCAGTAAGGGAGTCGGCGCGGACCAGCGCCCCCGTCGCTCGCTGCGTCTCCTTCACGGCCGCGCCCTGCGCGCCGATGACGACGCCGCGCCCGCCTTTGTCCTCTCGCGCCGCGCAGACTCTCAACACCGCCTCCGCCATCGATCTGCACGACGGCATATGAAGATGACCGACAACAAACATGACGACGATCCACACTACCACATCGTCGGTGGCGGGCCCGTCGGCTACGCGACGGCGCTCCTGCTGGCCAAGGACGGCATCCTCTCGACTGTCTACGAGTCTCGTGCATCCGTCGTCGACGTGCCTGAGGAATCCTACCCGATCGGCGTCAACGCGCGCGGCCTCCACACCCTCGGGCTCATCGACCCGTCGCTGGCCGCGTCCTGCCGCGACACCGGCAAGATCATCAACGCGTGGGAGATCTACGGTGGAGGTGGCTCGAAGGTGGCCGACCTCCCAAGCGGCGTGGTGTACGGCACGTCTCGCGCCAGGGTCAACCTCATCCTGGCCGAGGCCGCGCTCCGGCCGGAGTTTGCGTCGCTCATCACGGTGGTCAACAACTACCGGCTCCGCTCCGTCCGCTTGGCGGCGCGCGAGCTGGTCTTCGAGGAGCGGCTGAGCGGCGGCGGCAAGCGCGAGGTGGTGGTGGCGACCGGCCCGAACGGGCGGGTGGTGGCGGCAGACGGCTGCAACTCCGCGGTGCGCCGCGCGGTCGACGAGCAGGACGAGGGCTTCTCGTGCACCGTGACGCCATGGAAGAACGAGTTCCGCGTCATCTTCGCGCCGCCGGGCGCGAGCGCGCCGGGGCTCGACAAGACCGTGCACTACATCTTCGCGGGGTTCTACGCGGCGACGGTCGACATGGGCGGGCAGCAGACGTGGACGTGCGTCGTGGGCGCGCGCGACGGCGCGCCGCGCGCCGAGCGCGAGCTGCTGCTGTCGGAGGACCCGTCGGACGCCAACGTGACCGCGTTGCGCAAGCTGCTCGAGACGCGCTCGCCGCTGGTGGCGCCGATCTTCGGCGACGACGAGCTGCGCCGCTTCTTCGGCCGGCGCACCTTCCGCGGCGCGATGGTCCAGTGCTCGCGCGCCAACGTGGGCGAGTGGCTGGTGCTTCTGGGCGACGCGGCACACTCGGTCCTCCCTCCGACGGGCGAGGGCATCAACAGTGGCCTCGAGGACGCGGCCATCCTCGCGGCGAGCGTGCGCGGCGCCCCCACGGCGCCCTTCTCCGAGTACGAGGCGGCGCGTGGCGCCGACGTGGCGGGTCTGCTCTCGTACGCAAGCTACCTCAACGACGGCTTCGACCTCAAGGTGCCGGGCGAGGCGGGCGCGCGCCTCGCCTTCCAAATCCTCGAGTCGCTCCTGGGCGGCTGCGGCGTCGTGCCGCTCACCACCTCGCTCTTCGGCCCGCCCTCCGCCGAGCGCGCGCCCTACGGGCCGATGACGCGACGCTGGCGGCGGCGCAAGGCCGTGCTGCTGCCCCTCGCCCGGCTGCTCATCTATCCGTGGGCGTGGACCTTTGCGCTGCTGCGGCTGCCGTGGGTCGCCGCGCGCGGCCTCTGCCGCTGCTGCGCCCGCCGCTGTACGCCCGAGGAGATGAGCTCGCCCCTGCTGGGCGGCGGGCCGTCGAGCTCGAGGAGCATGAAGCCGCCCATCGACCTTGACGGCGCCGACGCGGAGGCCGGCGGCGCGTCCGCTGCGAAGGAGCCCGCGCCCGCCCATGAGGTCTGAGGCAGCGTGCTGTAGGTGTAAATGGTGTTGAGTTTTTTGAATGGACAATGACAGCTCGTTGCAGAGGAGGACAACAACCTCTCACAAGTTGTATGGTGACCATGGTGGTGGGCCTAATGCAAATACAAATACGAATACGACTACGAATACGAATACGAATGCGAATACAAATACGAATACGAATACGAATACGAATGCAAATGCAAATACGAATACGACTACAAATACGAATACAAATACAAATATGAATGCAAATACAAATACAAATACGAATACGACTGCAAATGCGAATACGAATACGAATACGAATACGAATACGAATGCAAATACAAATACGAATACGAATACGAATACGAATGCAAATACAAATACGAATACGACTACAAATACGAATACGACCACCCAGGCCCCACCCAGGCCCCACCCACCTAGGGAGGTCCCACCC